TCGCTGAAAAGTGTGTCAGACGATGTTTCCATAGAAACCTGTTCCATGACTAAGATTTCTACTCTCTGTCCCGAGCAGTAAATCACAAGGTGAAAATATGAATGAATGGACTTAGAAACGGCACTGCCCGGGCTACTCATCAGTGCTTTGCTTCTCCATTATGTTTCTGCAACTGAACTGATTCAGACAGTTGTGACAACTGTTGTACTTGAGCGTCTGTGAATATAGAAGCAAGATTGTTTCCGCGAATAGTACCGATAGACTGACACTTCGTCCTACTTACTTACAATTTATTTATGTTTTATATGTGCCAATGGCTAAAATTAGGCTGTGCTTGGCTTGGTGATTGAGATTGGCTCTTCCCGATTAACCCAGCTGACTTAGTTGCAATGTTTCATCTGATGACAGAACCGGCTTTTAAAACTTCGTCTGTTTTTACTTTCTTTCTAAATCAGTAGACGAAAGAAAGTGTCCAAGAATGTACATCAGTTGATGTGAAGCTTAGGTTCCAAAGATGGACTCTGCTTTTCGAAGTTGGTTAATTACTTGGTTACGTAGAAGGTGTCACAAAAATTTGTATACATACATAAAATGTACATTAGATAGTATAATTGCGTCATATTGTTTTAAGTTTGTTGATATAATTTTACACCTGAAGATGGTTCGATGAAACCGAAACATGTTGTAAAAATGTTCCAAATGTAAATCGATTATTCGATGTGGAACATAAAATGATATTTTAATTATCTTATTTGTAAATTTTAAATATAATTGTGATTAGACGGACAAAACCGAATAATTAATTTAATATTTGATTCACAATATGACGCAATTATACTATCTTATGTGTATACGTATTTTTGGGGCATTCTGTATTAACCGATATTCCACGTTATGTCTTCAGCATTTGTTAATATGCGATCCAAAGAAAGAATAATTATTAATTTGTTTAAGGCGCATTTGCAACATTTGCGTATTATCTAATCGTTCATGTTCTTTGTCATGCGAGGTATATTTGGTCCGTTTGTTTACATGAAATAATATGTCTTTCGTTGACAGTCACTCCATGAATTATTTATAAAATCGGCTAATTTTTATAGACTAGAAGCCTGTAATCCGGTTACAGTGACCGAACGTATGTTCTAATATCTCTGAGACTCATTTCGTGGGTTCTAATCCCGCTCAAGGCATGGATGTCTGTCCGTGTCTGTGTTGTGCTGTCCTGTGTAGGTAAAGTTCTTGTGACGGGCTGATCGCTCATCAAGAGCTTAATCCTTCCACATGTGGGACGGCCGGAGTCCTTCAAGCGATGTATAGCTGAGGAGTAAGCGAGTACGTAAGAAGCCTGCAGGGTCACACAGGAGCCTGTGTCATTAACTCTTCACACGTACTCAGGGCCAGGCTTTCTAGACATTGTTTGCCATCCTGAGACCTCGTCGCAGTAATAAGTCAAAAGAAGATTCTTAACTCGTACGTGTATGTTGTCTGTTTCAGCTTAATTAGCTTCGCGTAGACATTTATTCAAATTAATAGCGCTGATTGGAGAATTTTGTTCTTTTATCAGATGTAGTCATTTCTCAGTTACTGTTGTAATGACGCAAACAAGAGAACGTTTCCAAATTCAAAGCACTTCGACTTGGTACAAGGAAATTTCGTTGGAAAAGAAAAAAATCTGTGTTCTTCCGTGTGTAGGGTCGTTCGTCTTGGTCTTAATGACGGATGATTACGATCGTGATGTCATTAACAAGTGACAGTCAGTGTGGATGATAAAATTATATTAATTGCGATACGTCTAATCCGTTTCGTGTCAGAGAAAGTTGTGGTACCTTCGTTCTAATTACTGCCTAGGATCAAGAATTACGTAAAAGTTTACTTAGAAAAAAATTTCGGAGGAACGGATCAATGCTTTGACAGAAACATGAATTGAAGGTTCGTATTAAAATGAATGTAAAATAAATGTGCTATGAGAATGTTCAATTGAATAAAAATTTACTTGGATATTATCCATCGTCTAGTAATAAAACGTAAAAAAAAACGTAAAACGACGTTTCGGAGATGGGGCTCTATCTCCGTCTTCAGGTTCCTACTCAGTTGGGCCCACTAGATAGAGCTAATCCCTATCTCAAATTTTTATTCAATTGACTCTTCACCATCGTCAAGAAGTTTTAGATTTGATATATGAGAATGTTATTTGTTTGTTCTGGCGCGATTACTGGCGATGAACGACAGCAGGGAATTTCTTCTCACTGACTGATCAATGAGCCAGCCTCATTTCTCTCTTTTATTAAGAAGTAACTTCATAGGTGGCAGGTGGATTTTAAGGTGCGGCATAGGAGAAATCGTTGAGTAACCCGACAAGTATTGCACTTTCTCGGAAGTGAGCCCCTTTGAACTTTCTTCGGCCTTAAACTTTACGTGCGATGCGTTTGTTTACTAGATGGTGTCCGCGAGTCTAAAGTGGACGTGGGCTTTATCCACGTACGGAGACCAGGATGTCGTACATAGTTAGAAAACACCATGCAGAATATAAACTTCTCATTAGGACAGTTTAGTCGTGTGGTTTGCCTATCCAGCGCGGCGCCTACGTTTTCTGTTGTTATTGAATCGGAAACGAGACATTTGGAGCATACGATGAACTTACAAATACGATAATACTTCCAGACACATCGGAACTCATCTACACCTCTCATCTTTGGCCGATGTAAGAACAATAACAAAAACATTCACCAACAAAAAATTTTACTTAAACACGACTCACATATGTAAAACAACTTCAAATATATAAAAATGGAATCTGGA